ATTTCCATTGCTTTTATTACTGCGGTATAACTTCATGTAACATTTATGTTAATTTTTTGTATTTATTTGTTTGTATGTTTTGTTTTAGCAATTTAAATCAGTACTTCACTCCACTGCAGAAAAAAGCAGACTCTGGAGCTGGAGATATAATAATCTGGATCAGTTTTAGCCAAGCTAGTGCTGCAGCCGTGCCATCTGTCTGATGTCTGTTTAGTCTCACCAACTATTGCATTGTAATATTGTTTTTTACAAATATTCATGCAACTCAGTCATTTCTGTCAATGCCCCCCTGCTGCCTAAACACTGACACCAAGCAGGTTTTCTCTGTTTTTCCTCTGGTCTGGAAATATCTGCCATCCCATATAAGGACCTATCTAAATCAGTTCTAAAGACCTACACATTTTCACCTTCTGTTATTCTGAGACGCGTTCTGGTTTTGTCGAGTCCACTGCAATTGTTTTCTTACCTCTTTTTTGTTTTATTTTAGCTCTTGTTCCTATTATTTATATTTATATTTTATTTTTATTCAACTCATTTTATCATTTGAGCTTGCTAGCTAGCTTTGCTTTCCATAATAATGTGCTGTTTATGTGTTTTGTACTTGGATTTGTGGAGACCTGACACAGAAAATGGGCTTGCCTCAACTTGACTCAGTTTGACCTAACCTTTGGTTTTGAGTGAGATGTCTCAATAAGCACTTGATTGATTATGGATTCAGTCATTTCACCCTGAGGATGAAGGAAATGCAATAGTTCTGTGATCCCCTGAGGTTTATACAGCTTCATCAGTAGTTTTCATTACATTTATTTCTGAATTATTTGGTAAAACTACTAATATCCAGGCTCCTGCAGGGTCCTATATTTAAATGGAAATGTAAGCTTAAATATGAAAATGTAATTCCACAACAGTATTATATTTATCCACATATATATGTGTTATTCAAGTAAGAATGTGTGTGTGTGCGCGCGCGTGTGCGTGTGTGTGTGCGCATGTGTGTGTGTTAAAATGAATGTGAAAAAGCTGTTTTACATTTAATGTTTATGGTTTTTGTACAGTTTCATTTTCAAAAACATACCACAGTTTACATGAGCAACCAAGCAAATGTTAATTCAAATTTTTAAGGCATTTATTTTCTGTTTTCATGTATGAGAACAACATACATTCATGTTTAATTCAATAATCAATTATAATATAAGTATAATTTAATTTAAGTTGTATACATTTGAAAAAGGCATTTAATATTTTCATTGTCATGGCGTATATTTGATTAGACCAGTACTTTTTGCATTAGCTTGTTGCTAAAGTTCGTCTGCATCTGTATTTGAATGGTGGTTCAAATAATCCCTATATAGTTAACTACTTACAATTTGAAGCCATAAAAAATTGTTTTTAATCAGCAGTTACTTTTTGTTTTCATTTCAAATTCCTCTGTCCTATTATTGTCTGTTTCACGAGGCCAGTCGCTCTTTTACTTCCATTCCATGAAGACATGCCCAGACAGCACATTCATCAGGCAGACACACTGGACCTTTGCGTCATACACTTGAAAGACCTCCATAATACCCTTTAATAACATAGCCTAAAGAAGAATCATTGTACCTAGAATCACTGTACTTAGGCAAAAACATGACAGTGATCACTTCAATCAATAAAATCTCTTACTATCACTTTTACTGAGACTGGCCGAAGCTGTTTACAAGACCAGTGGGATCAAATGGTGCTTTAAACAGTTCTGTTTGTGTTACTGGGGAACTAAAAGGTGGCTCACTGTAAACTTTCCAGTCCAGAGCTGCAAATGTGAATCTTAATATGCGTTTAAAAAGCAATATCCCTGTTTCCTACATATAATACACAAAGAGATGTGTGGTAACTGAAGAGAGAGAAAGAGAGTCAGTTCAAAGAAACGTCAGCTGACTTGTACTTCACTACACATTCCTAGCACTCTGCCATTTCTTTATAGTAAATCTAACATTGCAACCCCCTGCAGTTTCCTTCATCCCTGAACGAGTCCCCTGCCTAATGAGGGGCTTAGATTCTGACCCATTACTTCATCTCTGTCCAGAGCCTGTCTTTCCTATCACGTTGTTCAGCCTTACTGGACTTGCCCTGTTTCTGCTTTATCGTTCAGAGTGGTACGAAAAGTGTTCACTGCTTGAACTGACTGGAGACAAAAATATTCTCTCTAGTACAGATAAACTAAAGGGTACTCTCGAAATAAAGACTCATCAGTCCTGCAGTGAGCTAATCTTTAAAATTGGACTTTATTCTCAAAAGTGCGGAGCTATTATTGAGCATTGCTGAATCTTTAAAGCATTATTAACTTTATTAGCCTCAGGCTGTACAGTAATAGCTCAAGAGTAGCTGAAATCCTGATTTGACTTGATTTGCTGTCATTATATGTAAATGTGTCTATACTGGAGGATGAATGAGCACACTTTCCTTCAGAATAACACCCTCACAAATGAATAAAACATAAAGATAATGTTAATTTAGAGCATCACTAATGGTTTGAAACATTTTAAGCAGAAAATGAGTGATTCCAAAAATTTAATGACTCATTAGATCCGTGAAAAAATCACTTAAAAGTATTTCTCTTTCAATAAAGATACACATTTTAACTGCCGAATGGATGAACCTGACCTGTGCTACTATTGCACAATTGCCCTCATCTTGTTGTCCCACTAAAGTAATTATACGGTGAGTAATGTAATTAACCGGGACTACTCTAATGATAATGCTAAGATAACAAGTCCCAAAAACCGGTTATCAACATGCAATTACATCCATTATGCTGTCAAAACAATGAAAAGAAGTAAGCAGGCAAATTTATTCAAACTATCTTTATTTATTTGCACAAAAATACTTTCTAAAGAAGAGTCTCTGGGCACAGATCAGCACACTTGCCACAGCGCCGAGAAGAGAGCGGTAAAACGAGCTCCTCTTTACACACAAACGCAACATGTCTGAATGGGTTTTGGTGTGAGGGTACTACCTCATGGTGTGAGGTGCTTTTTTTCATCTAACACCCTTTCACCAAATGTCAACTGGCAAATAAGCCCAGCCTACCCCGCAAAGAAGATTACTCAAACCACTCTCTTTGTAAAAGGTGGGAGGCAGGAAGATGCTAAACACAGGCAAATAAAGAATTATAGACATTTAAATGTTTGCCTTTTTGCAAAAGTGCTCCAGACACACAAATGCTCAGGGCGAGTGCATGGAGCTGCCTGCATGACAGCTGTCTTATTTATAGCTCACTTTTACCCAGAAATTCTTACTCCGAAAGGTCACACGCTATCATCCAGACATCACAAAATGAATGAAGACAAATAAGCGGAGAAAGTGTGCTAACGTGGCATCTGGAGTACACAAGGTTCTCATATCCATCAAAACAAAGACACAATATGATCAATGAGCCTCTACAAGTCTGCAGTCCTTGATTGACTTTCTTTGCCGCGAGCCTTTTCTGCTACTCTAAGTTGTTCCGGTGTGGTCATCAACAATAAAATGGGTGTGTATGCAGCCTGTCTGCAGCTTCACGCTCCCCTGATTCTTGTTTTGCAATCAGCACAGGCCGGAATGACACACCCCGCATCACTAACGCTCACTCATAGAAGCCAAGAGAGTGGATCAGCTACAGACGTCCACAATGCTTGACTGACAAAGGACAATCCAATACAAATAGAAACCATACAGCATATATCACTTATGACAGCTAACTGAAAAAAAAAAGCATCTGTGTGTGGTGTTATTAATGTAAGTTTGCAGGGGCAAAGTCACACAAACAAATTATCAAATTAATTTGGATGTTTGTTTGCTTTTAATTTAACAAAAGATGAAATGAAATGAGATGTTAAATCTGCACTTACACAACACCACAAATCACTTTTTCATGCACGGAGCAATTAAAACTAATTTCCACTGCCTTAAGCATTACCTCAAGCTTTATTTCTTGCTGCGTAATGACCCAATTCCCCCTGCGCACCACGCTCACATAGGACAGCCAGTCACCGGGTTCAACCCCACAGGTGTCCAGACTGCAAGCCAAAAAACATCAAAAGGCACCTTTTAAGACCATGTTTATGATCTACTCGGTTTGCCCAATCTGTTTACCAGAGATGCCTCTCTAAATGTTAACTCAAGTATCGTCGAAGAATGTCCAGCTGATACTTTGCAGAGCTCTTAAAGATGACTGCTTTGTTGTTGTTTTCTGCCAAAACTCTATATTCTGCACAACCATCGTCAGCTGGGTGCTGAGGCCATAAGTGCTGGTTATGTTACTGATTACAATCTTTACGGACAGGCAAATATATCCCATTAGGAGCTGTGTGAACTTATTTTGAGCTCTACGACCAGGTTCAAACAGATTATTTGCAAAACTACCCGATACTTGTTTACTGCATAATTATGTGGCATCATCACATAACGCAGGTGACTGGCATCACTTATGACTGAACAAACAAGTAATACTGGCTATAATAACAAAACCTAAAAAGTGAAAATTCATTCATTGGATGTTTAATGTGTGTAATTTAAATCGACGCAGTGACTAATACTAACACAGGAAATGTTTGGCAAAATGCTCTTCTTTGTGAGGGAATGAAAACATATATTAGCAACCTACAGTATATATTTATAATATAATGTAGTTGATTACAGTTTATTAAGATGTGGAACCAGCTCCCAGTTTAAAATCAGGAGACAGAAAACCCTTTACACTTTTAATATTGGGCTTAAAACTTTCCTTTTTGCTTATAATTATAGCTGGCTTAGGTGACCCTGAACCCTCTCTTAGTTATAGTGCAGTAGGCTTAGGCTGTTGGGGGCTTCCCATGATGCACTGAGTGTTTCTTCTCCACTCACCTCTTTTCTCTCTATGTGTGTGTTTTTACACAACTTTGCATTATCATTCGTTATTGAACAAACTTTTGTCTTTGGTGAGCACAAAGACTCACAAGAACACACATTTAAAACTCAGATTGTTAATTAAAAGTCTTGCAATTGTTGCTAAAGTTACTCTGTGTTTAGACTTTGTTATATGCGTGCACTACAGTTTTCCGTGTTGGCTGAGACTCCCGTAGCAATTAATCAAGTCCAGCCAGCGCTCATCTTGAGGATAGCTGTTAAAATGTTTAACACAGCATTCCTGTAACCTTGTGTTTAATAGAGTTTGGGGGAAATCATAGATCAAGAAGGACAAGAAATAGTCGAGAACACGGGGTAACGGTAAGCTTGCCTTGGAGATTAGAGAAGGAATAGAAAAATGGAAGTTATCAAACAGCTGATGGCATTATACTGGAAAGTTTTAACTGTCTGCAGCACAAAACCTTGTAGAAACTGTTGTTTTAGATGACATGTAGTTTAATACCGACAAATTCAGCTCCCAGCACCTGTAATGTAAGAGGAAAATGTATTACAACCTACAGAGGTTAGGTCCCTCTCTCCCTGGTTAGCATTGTATTTATTTATCAGTGTACTAATGAGTGTGGCTGGAGTGAAAACCTGCAGATTTGTGGCCTTTCTTGACACATGGTTCCACATTCTTGTTTGAGACATTAATGAATAGCCACTTTTTGAAAAAACAAATGCACATTCAATTGTTTATAGGATCTAATTTGTATCTAAGCCGCACTCTCCATCCTGCATCGTTACCTCCAGTCTATCTGCAGTCTGCCTGCACAGCTCTGAGGGGACTACCCTCCCCCCAGGATTTGTCCACTCCTTGTGCTGTGTTCCTGGAAGACCGCAAAGAACTAATCAATGAGTCATGTGTCCTGATTACAACCAGCTCCCTATGGAGCATCTTCAAAGGGGCCCCGAAGAGATGTAGGGTAGGAGAACTATTGCCCTCCATGGGGTAATTACAAGTTGAGGGTCTATGGTCTCTAGTTCTTTTCTGTGCACACTCTGGCTTAAAGACAGACCAGACCAGTTAACAATTCACTCAGTCTTGTTAGCGCAGCGGGAGGCTATTCCAACCACTGATGACCAACTGATGGTGTATACCATCCAAAACTATACAAATCCACCCTCAACAGCATATTTTAAGAAAATACATGCTATAGCACAATGCTTATTAATTGAGAGAAGCAAGTGATAAAGTCAGTTAAAGATACTATAAACAGGGAGAGTGACATTAAGATTTGCTGCAGCTGAGTACACGCCTCTCTGTCCCAGGAAAACAAGCCAAGTGTTTAAGTGTTTATGAGTCAAAACTGCCATAAAACTAGGAAAACACATTTAAGTACTGTCTGGCTGCCTCAAGGCTTTCCGTCTTTTTTCTCCACCCCCTCCACTATTGCTTGTCCGGTGATATTCACACACATCATTTACTTTAGACTGATATCCAAGTCCCGTGGCTGTTTGCTTTGTCCTGTTACAGTAAAACACTGTGTTGAAGAATCCAAGAAATAGCATCCGAGGCAGTTTGCCAAACATGCAATGATTCTATGTTCTGCCAAGATAGCAACCAGAAAAACAAAGAGCTGCAATCGCTATTATCAGTGACTGATGAGCAGCTGCATAACTGAACCCAATCTTGTGCATCTGTTGCCTATTTATTTAGCTATTACAGCTGCAGTAGTTAATTAGTACTTGAAGTGATGACTACATAGAAAGTTAATAAGGAGTAGAAGTGTGGAGACAGTGTGGCTGATGTTGTCTTTGGGTTAAGACTCCAGTAAACCCTGTCTGCACGGCAGCAAACAGAGAGAGGCGATCAGGGACAAAACAGTCATTAGCATTAGCTTCCTGTAATGAGGGAAAATAAGAATACAGGAACCTGTGTTATGGCTGTCAGTCAGGAAATTCCCACACTGGTTCTCTGAGTGAAAATCCCTTACAGGTGTTCAAGTGCTCTAAAAACACAAAGAGAGATAAACAGTACTTTGTTTGCATATATTCTTGGAGTTGTTGCTAATAAGACACTAGTTTTCTGCACTGTTCTCATGCATACACATATAAATATTAGGTCACTGCCCTTGTATAAGTTTTGTTTTTGGGGTGTTTTTTTTTTTTTCTTTTGGCTCTGTCAGACTGCCGTCTATATTTTGTTAAACAGGTAACTTCAGCATTTAAGTTAAACGACATAAATGTCTGCATCCACATCATACAATTAGGAAAGTATGGAGTAACTCCATACAGCACTGCATTTTTACAAAATGCAGAACAAATCGTTATCCATTACTGCCCTCATGTGGACAAACTATGTAGCCGTGACAGTAGACTACAGTGCCCTTTGACCTTCCTAGGTAACCTCCGCAGCTTTGGTGGCACACCATATGCTATTGGACGGGCATCCAAGTATTCGGTTTGTTCTATTAATTACATTCATACAATATAGCTGAACCAGCTGATGAATGACCTCTGTTTAGTTTCAAAGGTACATGAAGGTTACCAGCATGACCTCCTCAGTCATGATGGTTACATGATTGCTGCAGAAGCACTAAAATATTATTAACCGATATGTTTTTTTTTGTTTGTTTGTTTTTATTAGCAACTTCTATGAATTAATGGAACTTACAGTTGAAGCATATCAGTAGAAATCCGATGAAGGGGTACACCGTCTTTAGTGGGTGGGTCTGGACCCCCGAGCCCCATCAATAAGGCCGAACTAAACTTCTGACAAGGAAAAAAAGTAAATTCTGAAATTAAAAAATATAACATTGCATAAAAAATAAATAATAATAATAATATAAAATAATAACATGTACTGGATGGAATTTTTTGATTAAGATAATATTTTGGCAAAAGTCTACATACAATATATTCTACACTACATTTTCAACTGCATTAAATTTATACTGTACTTAAATATGGGCTAAAAGATACAAGCTTTATAGATATCATATAATCATTTGTGAGCAAGCTTAACAAAGCCTGCTCATCAAAGCAAGAAACTGTCCAATACAAAGGGATATTTATATAGTAACAACAATACAAGAGGGTTGATTTATTTCTCATTTAAGAAAGAAATGTTTTTATCGCCTACAATTATTATATGGTAATACAAAAACTAGAAGGTCTGCATCAGTTTGAAAAAAAAGTTAAGATTCTGATTGCTCTTGCGGGACGTGAACGCAGCATCACACCCAAATTTTTTCCAACATCCGGGTCCTTTGGAACCAACCAGTGTGTGTGGAAACTGGGTAAGGAGGGCAGTGAGGAGCGGTGGAAAGGCGGACTGATGACAGCTGTCACTGCGGACAAAAACACTAACAATCTCTGAAGAGAACCCGAATGGCTCACCCCTGAAACTCCAGGAGACAAGGGATAACACCTCGACAGTATCGCGGGTTATTTAAAGGTGTCGCGAAGGTGAGGTATTGTTTTTGGGGGGCTGGGAAATATGACTGGAGGATCAGTGCCAGTTTGCCCTGTCTGTCTCTGGAGAGTTGAGGTTAGCCCCACTAGCTATCCAAGCTAACTACCCAGCTAAACAAGTGAACTAGCTTTAGGTAGGTCTTCGGGACTTGGGGGGTGGGGGTCATTGCCGGGGGATGGACACGTCTAAATAGTTCTCGTTTTCTAGAGCGTTAGCTCGACTGAAAACTCAATGAGAACCTAATAAGGGAACTTTTCAAATATGAATTCGGGAACGACGAAATGCTAGTTAGCACTCTCGGTTAGCTCAGCAAAGAGCTAGCTAACAGTAGTTAACGCTGGTAGCTAACGCTAAGGAGCAACACATTGCCTCACTTCATTGCATTACTTTTGTTCTAACACAGCTGAGGCCGTTATTTTGCTTATATGACAGGGGGTAATTCCAGCTTTGTTAGTGGGTGGTAACTTAACCCAGCTGATTAATGATGGGTGGCTAATCACCCTATTCTTTGTCAAGGATCAGTATTCGTTAAGTTGCCTGCGGCGTCTGTGACTAGTGCATTTGACTCTTGGACCTACGCGGTTTAGCTCATCAAACGTCTGCATGGAGTGCTCATGTCTCACTTGGATCCTCTGACTCAGCCGGATCCTAAACTAGGCGTTTTCCCCCCCGTGTCTGTACCAGCCATCCACAGTGGGCTTTTGTCTAGTGATAATGTTAACTCTAATATTACTCTTGTCTATCAACGCATGTGGAATACCCATTACATCAACTTAAAATGCAAGCGTAATCAGTGGACAGGTATTGCTTGTAGATTTTTTTTTTTTTTAACTAATTGTGTTATTCATTCTGTACACTTTATCATGCTGCGTTTTGGATTGGTATCTCTGGCTGATTTAAGCTACCAGAGCTCCTTCTATATGCATGTCACATTAAAGCTGGTTCATGTCAGTCACAAGTGTTTATCCAAAGCCCTTGTGGGTGCCATACAAGGGTCTGTTTTTGCAGGAGTGAAAATAAGAGATATGAAGTGTCTGAGTTGGGAGTGCAGAAAGCATACACAGTGAAACACAGCCAAAAGGCATATGTCTAATTATTCTATCATTTGACTTTGTTTACTGACTTGTTGAAATAATTTTTTATCTGCTTTTGTTCCTCCAGGAATTAACACACGTTTCCATCTCCTGGGCTTACGCAGTATGAGTTCCAGTACTAACATGGGGACACAAGGCACTGGTAGAAAGCGTGCTCCTCTAAAAGATCGGTTCTCAGCAGAGGATGAAGCGCTGAGTAGCATTGCTCGTGAGGTAAGGTCATTCATCACCTACATTAATTTTGAAGCTTACTGCAATGAACCTGGGATGCTTTCTCCATAAAAGGTTCCCCTTATGCAATCTGAATCAATGCAAATCTGATTTTTATTCAGCTCAAATGTTCTTGTTTATCCTCGTTGAGATAATAGGGGCTTCAAGTATAGACAGAGGACTGATTTGTCAATTTAAAGGTGGCTAACTCAGGCAACAGAACCATCACTTTTTAAAAGTACCAAGTAGTTTCTTAAGAGCATTGTCAGTACTCATATGCTTGCCTAAGCAGCATTATGGTTTGTGAGAGCCCTTTTAAACTGAACATGGCGATTAAATCTTTTGCCTAAGCCTTATAATGTAAATGCATGTGTCTACTTACTTTTTGTAACCCTTCTTCTATTGTTGCAATTACTTAAACCAACAAAAAAACTCAGGTCATCGCAATGATCTTTCATCAATGTGAAACATTTCAAGAAGACAAAGTATTTTTTTTACTTACATTTATGTGAATTCAAACAAAAAGAATTAAAAATGGTAATTATTTTTTTTTGCCTGAGAGATTGTGGAAAGCATTACCAATTTATTTGAAATTGAGCTAACAATTTTAGAGCCCAGGTTTGGAGTAACCTGGTTGACCTTACTGATGTTCCAGTGTTGTTTTTTGAAAAACTGGTTGAAAGTTGAGACCCAAGGCTACTCAGCAGAACTTGTATGCGATCTATCAGGTTTCAGACTAGGTTAGCTATCAGTTTAGTTTAACAGCACATTGAATTAGAGAGGTGTACGAAGACTGCAGGGCGACTGATGTTAATTTGAAGTGTGGTGGTCAAAGTTGCATTATCAAAAACCTTCATATCTATATTTAGATATGGATGTTTGTGTTTTGCTAGTTAAGTTGTGAAGCAAGTGAAGACGGCTTGTTTGGAGTCCACAGAGGTTGACTTCACTTGTAGTGTTTTTGTTCACGAAGGAAAAACACAGGCAAAGAAAAAAGCTGCCTGGCTTGTAACGACATGCCCTGGGATTATTCCATTTTGTTCCACTACAAGCCTTTCATTCTTTCACTTTTCTCCACAATATTGTGGATAACAGCAGAAAAAGCAAATATTGTTTTTGGTTCTTGTTGTATTGTTTTAAATGGTTTTTAAAGGGATCTTTAAATTCATATTTGCATGTAATAGTGATTCTGCAGGTTTTTTTCCTGTAAAATTTAATCTAAATCAGATAATTTCTTGCCTTTAAAAGCTTAAACCTAACGATAAATATCAGCCTTTAGTTGATGTTTATATTGACCTTTGAGAGCAAAGTCTTTGATGATCGAAAGCGGTGCAGTTCCTCATTCTTGAACTCTAAGCACAAGGCTCCATTTGCTCTCTTTATAGTTACGCAGGCTCATCATAGAAACATGAGTCATCCAACCCTCCCAGTCAGGTCCTAAGTCTCATTCTCTTTGTGCTGCTAACCAGAGATTTGACTGTTTAGGGAGTTCAAGGGGTCAGTGTCTAACTTGTTTCACGTCACCACCTGCCCAGATTCTTAAACCTCTGCAGCTCCTACCTTGTGGTCAGGAGAGCCAAAAGTCAACCAGTTTAAAGTCTTGGCACAGTCCCCGACTGAGAGTGACTGTGAATTTGAGCCTGCACCATCACCAGACTAGTTCTGAGGCCCCTTACATTACTGGGCACTCAATCTTTGGAATACTGGCAGCTTACAAATCAAGCAGGGGACAAGTATTAGAATTAGATTATCACCTCATAGGTGTTGTCCCTCAGATAGCGATCTAAGGAGTCAACTATTTGAACAAAGCCATGCGCGTCTTTTTTGATGTAGAGAGAGGAGTGTCTGTGCACAAGCTATAGTTCATAGTCCATTTGATTTCATTTGTGATATCACCAAGTCGCTGTTGCAATGGATAGTGTACAACTTTCCTTATATGGTTAGGAGTGTTAAGAGTTCAAAGAACAAAGCACCTATTACAGTCTGTGTTCATAAGCGTTTGGATGGCTGCTGGGATACAATCACTACCACTCCTATCCCCATTAAAACCAGTTTTTAACAATTATTATTTGGATTTCTAAAAGTAAGACATAGAGGAGTTAGCATTTTCAAGGACTGGTTGAGTATAATTCAAAGAAAGCAGAGACCTGGTGGTTTGCTATTTACAGGACTAGTATAGAGCACATACTAATCAGCTATCAATTATTTCCACTGGAGTTAAAACAAGCTCAAACAGACCTCTCTTGTAAATGTGGCATTGAGTCTCCTATGGAGCGCACAAACACAACATAACAATCTTGTTTAGCAGATTGTTGTATAAATAAAGGTCAATTTAAAAAAGCTCGATGCACCAGCTTGACTGTTTCATTTCAGATTGCGATAATGTACAGTATGTTATTTATATATTAATATTATTACATAAATTTCAGCATTTACTGCTGAATTTATTCTTCAGAATTGTAGGTGATTAAAAAGTTATTGGTCAGTTTCTCACAGCCC